TGTCAGAGATTTCTATTCAAAACTAAGATACACATCCATCCCTACGTTTTGTGATATTTTGCAACAGCATTTTTTCCTTGTACTGATATCCACCCAGTGGGGAATGATACTCTTGGTAAAACCTGATAAGGCAATTTGAAATTGTTGTCATTTGCATGTAATCTTGTTATAAAATTATGTTAAATAATGTGGCTAATCCTACCTCACTGACTTTTTAAAACTTATTTTTATTCAATATATACTTTTTACATGTGGAATAAGAGGTAGTTTTTATTAGATATTATCAATAACTTCAAATAAAAGTACAGGACAAAACTTGAAGCCCAAAAGTTAAACTTACTTTGTGAGCACAAGACAAGGTAGAATTTGTATGACATATTCCCCATTTCTCTTGTCTTTTTCATTAAAGAAAATAGTCTATAAAACCCATAAACTTGAGTCTAATTGTATGATTTTCAACATTAGTATTAAATTCTCAGATCATACTGAATGTGTATTTAGTGTAAGATGGTTAGAAAGCTTGACTGGTTTTTCAAGGCTCTGAGTTCAATTTCAGAACAAAAAATGAAAGAAGACGTTAATTAAGCTCCTGTTCTGTGGTGATATTTAAAACATTTCTTCACCTTGTTATCTGCAGATCTAAATCTGCATCATAATAAGCAGCATACAAAAATTCACACCTGTGAAGAACTATTCAGTGATCAAGACACCATCATGTACCAAATTATGGCTGGAAGTATCAAATCACAATGAACTTTGAAACTATTAGGAATTTGTAATTTAAATAGTTTCACTCCATCCCTACTCCCAAAAGCTTTTAATTAGAGCAGACTTTTTAATTAAATACTCCCATGCACAAAGTTTAGCCTGATGATTTTTCCTGTCATATCAACCTCCCATACCAAAGCAAATATTCATTGTGTCAAAGGAAAACCAGGGCTTTTTAAAAATTCCGACAAGAATCTGAGAACTCCAGTTTTGATTACCAGCTGTGCAGACTAAATGGAAGGCCCTGCCCTTGGAGCAGAGCAGCAAGGATGAGACAAGAACAGGGAGTGCACTTCGAATGCTCTGAATTTATTCCAATATTTAGTTAAGGAAACTATGTATAATGGAGTGGACACAGACATTGGGTTCCAGTTCACGGCACTACCATTTGTTTCCCTGTGAGAATGTCTGAGGCTCTAGCTTCCTCAAGCATCCGATCCTTATTTAGGCAAAAGAGTAAAAACACTTTGTTTTTGAGATACAGAGCAGTAGAGACTTGATACTTTTATCAATTCTTTAGAGTTTTATTTTGTCCATAAAATGTATTTTTCTCATAAGCATCCTCACTCCTGTGCTAACTCATCCTAAGTCCAACCCCAGATTCCCAAGTGACTCCCAAATTCCTATCTTCCACCTTTTTAAAATAACATACCAAGTCCTGTCTGTGTTAATATTATCATGGGTGTGGGGTCATACACTAGAGCAGAGGCTGCCTACCAGGTGTTATAAAAAATAATACAAATTTTATGTCCTTCCCCTGAAGCCTTTAACTCTCAGTATCTCCTAGTGGGATGGGAGACTTTTGATGCCCTCCTGATTCTGTGCTAGAATGTTTACTTATGCAGATCTTGAGCAACCAATCACAACTGCTGTGAGTTCCTTAGCTGAGTGGTGCTTGGATGTTAAGAAGATGATTTGGTCCTCCACTCACACTTGGCTTTTATAATTGTTCTGTTTGATCATCCAGATGGTCCTTGGAGAGGTACAAGGTGATGTAAATGTCACAGACACATATTATCAGCAGTTTCCCAGTTTTTGGTATTAAACGCTGACCATTTTGGCAAGTAATTTTGATGAAATCTGAGAGCATCACTAATCTCTGGGTCTAGAAGCATGAGTTTAGAAGACAGTTTGATGCTATGTCCATTTGCCAAAATAGTATAAGTTAAGTTTATTCTCAGAGCTGACGGAGCCATGAGTTCTTGGTCAGTTTTACATTATCAAAGATATACTTCCTCCTGTGGAACAGTTTCTAAATCAAATCAGAAAGCAGTTTTTAAGCCCCATATATTTTTGGCTCTGTTGTTACATTCATAGAATACTTTGCCACACAGGTCATGACAACTTTTATTCCCCTAGCTTCCTACATTGACCTGCCAGCGTTATGAAGGAAAGTTTCTGATCTGGGTCAACTTAATTTTGCCATGCAGTCTGTGAAGCATGGGATGTGTGAAACAATAGGGTCCCACCGTGTGAATATGGTGGGCAACCAAGAACAGCAACCATAGCAGACATCGTTCAGGGGATCTCCAGGACAACCTTGACCAACAGAACAAGAGGAAGTTCCCAGATATGACAATGGAATTTTAATTTGTCTACTCCTGACTTCTAAGAGGAACATTATCTCTCCTGTAGGAAAATTAAAATCTCTCTCTCTCTCTCTCTCTCTCTCTCTCTCTCTCTTTCTCTCTCTCTCTCTCTGTGTGTGTGTGTGTGTGTGTGTGTGTGTTGAAAGAGAGAGAGAGAGAGAGAGAGAGAGAGAGAGAGAGAGAGATAGATAGATTATGTTTCCATATGGCCATTAATGTCAGTTTTGCTAAGTAACCATCTCTGCTATCCTACTCTGCCTTCCATCTCCAGACTTAATAACCTTTGTTATTTTTGCTTTTTTAAAATCTAAATAACTTTTTTCATTTATGTTACATACCACCCAGATTTCCTTCTCTCTTCCCCTCCCATCCCCTCACCTTCTCCTCCATCTCCGTTCAGTAAGGAAGGGGCCTCCCATGGGCTTGCACAAAGCATGGCACAATAAGTTGGGGTGTGACTGAGCTCCTGACATTAAGGTGAGTCAGGGCTGGGTAAACTAGTGTGATGAGCATCTTACCACAAGCCAGTTAAGCACCAGGGAGAGGTCCTGCTCTCACTGTTTAGAAGCCTTACTGAAAAACTAAGCTACACAATTGTCATACACATGCAGATGGCCTAGGTTGGTGCTATGCAATTCCCTGACTGTTGGTCATGTCTCCTGTGCTCTCTGGTCAGCTCACTTAATAAACTTTGATGTATCTTTAGCACAATATGTACTTAGGAAATGTTGGTTCTACTGATAATAAGTACTGCTATGATTTCCTTGAGATGAAAGCTTTTATTGATTTGGATTTAATGTCTCATAATACTTTGGTAAAATTTACTCAGCGTCAAGAAGATTTTTTTTTTTCTGTGACTATAGCACACAGAAAGACATAGAGATAATATAAAGAATTTTGGTGTGGTACTTGTAGAAGGCTATCTAGTCATGGGTGTGTGAATGAAATATGGTGAAAATAGGCAATATACTAATTACCTTTAACATATATTGTTTCTTCAAAAGTTTAATATTTGGTTTGGTGAGATGACTTTTCATATAAGGGCACTTGCCTGATTATCTGAACTTATTTCCCTAAACACAGATGATGGAGGGAGAAGCCTGATGCTGGCATTTTGTCCACTGACACCCCACCACCGCATATACAGATGCATGGTAGACTGTACACACAAACACACACACACTCACACACACACACACACACAATGCATATTATAAACAAATGTTTTAAGTATTCTAGGAAGGTTAACATTTCTCATCTCAAAACATTTAAGGCAAGCACTTTAATAAATCATTTGCTTCTAATATTGGCTGGAACAATGACATGGCTGTTTCTTTCATGGGACTTACCAGTTTGGAGGTTCACAATCAATTTTTAGGGTACATGGACTGGCGAACAAAAGCTGGACATGTTTAAAGGTAACAAATTTTAGCAAGAAGGAACTGGAGAGTTAATGGAAGGGAGAGAGTACTAACTTATCAGCCTACTAAGGAGAAAAGATTGATTACATCAAGTCAGAGTGAAGCTTGGCTTACTGCAGAGTGAGGCCGTCAGGATCATGAAGTTTTATGCCTCCATGGAAGTGATATTATATTCCTGCAAATTGTGATAATGTAAAATGTGAAAAGAAAGTGAAATTTTGTCAAATCATTGTTTCTCAGAAGTAAAAATTGCTTTACCATTGACAGAACTTTTGTAGAATTTACTATCGATATCTCCTTGCAGATTGTACAACACATAAGGGAGATGTGTAAATGCTTTTCTGTTTTCTGAATCCTATTCTGGGCTGGTTCTATTTCCTTGTAAATATCTATGTTGATATTTATTTTTCAAAGTTTGAAAATGGTTTTTCCAAGCATTGGATTTTTCCAAGCATTTAGTTGGGAATACTTGAAATTCTGTTGTATTTTATCCGAAGGTTAGATCAAATGTAGAGGGGACAGGGTAGAGTGTAACAATCTGAAAAATGGACTGACGTTTTGTGTGTGGTTTGTATTGGATAATTAATTCCCCGTTTCTTATTTCTACATCATTCAAATAGTTTATACAATATGTCCAAGTTTTCATTCCTTTTTATTTCCCACAAAACCGTGCCATTTATTTGTTCAGTTTATCTCAGTGCAGTGAAGAAAGGCTCTGGTTTATTGGTGACCCTAAAATAGTGGTGGTGGTCCTCAATAAGCAGCAGCACAAGCGCACAATGGCCACATCACCTAGAAGATTTAACAACAGTGCTGGAGAACAAGAGGGATCTGGCTTTCGTGATGGAGACACACCTGAGTGCATTCCCAGAAAATTTGCTTCTGCAATCTTGGTGGAAGTAATTGTCATTCAACAGAAAGTCCCTAGCTTTGCATATCAGCAATGCACATACACACAAACCCTTATCTATTTCCTGAGTGGTCTGGAACTGATATCATTGGAGCAAATATATATTTATGAGAACTAAGGCGTCTGTACCCTCCTTGATCCTACAAACTCATGTCATTATGAAATTAATTTTGAGAATATGTGAAAACTGTTACTTCCTAAGCAAGTGAAAGTAAGATAAAAGCCAGAATTTCACACCTAATTTTGTATTTCTTATATTCACATTGGTCCCTAAAGTGCCATGCCATTAATTATTTTTATCATTTGTTTTAGATGGAAGACTGTATTTGAAAACTACCGTCATGTACTGAATCTTTCCTGTTGAAAAAATCCATCCTTTCATAGAGAACTCTGGAGTCAGACATTCATCGCTGGAAAGTTCAGGAAAACAACAAAAATGTCCATATAAAGGAACTTCTTCTATTTTGTGTGTTAGTGCTCTTTAACATTTAAGTATTCCACAAAAGCAGAAAAAATTTCCGCCATTGCTTTTCCACCTGTGGCTCATACCGGAAACTGAGAATGTTTATAAATGTACACATCTCAACCTTCCTACAGTCAATAACTCAGCTGTGCTGCTGGACACGTGTAGACAGAGATAACGATGGGTCTTAAGAACACCTAGCTTTCCTTTGTTTTCCTTTTGTTCTTAATGGAATGAACCATTTCTCCTCTTCTGAAAATTCTGTAACTGAGCGCATCAACAGACTGTTGCAGTGTTCACCCAGACTTATAGACCTGTGTCTCACAGAAACCAGCAAGAATATACGGGATGAACCTGTAAGGGGCATCGAGGATGCTGTTGGGGAATGAGAGAAGTGAAAGTATTCTGTTACGTTTGATTTTAAACTCTGTAATTGTGGATTTTCTCCTGAAGACTTTTTTCATATACTTTCTGAAAGACCAACAAATGTGTGTTAACAACTCAATGGAATTACATTTTGCATATCTGAAACAGAAGCATTGAATATAAGCCAAAAGGTTTCCCTGATGGTCTCTTTTTCTTAAAGATAAAAAAAAATATAAATATATATATATATATAAATATAACATGTTTTCATTCCAAACTAGTAGTGGTATATAGGATTACAAATAATAACATTGCTTCTTACTCAAATTGTTGGTCACATGTACAGTATATAAACATAAAACTCACAGGAAGGTATTATGTATGCAGTAGTACACTAGCGTTTAGGCAATGAAAATTTTAGAAAATATGTTTTGTCACCCTGTGGGTCAGAAAGATGTCTTTCTGGTTTTAACGCATGCAGGCATGTAAATATTTGTCTGGAGTCACAGTATTAATGAGTGAGATCTTATGAATCTGGTGACATCAGAACTCTGTGTCAGTCACTTTTATTTGTATATTGATCCCTAGTGAGTGCCCCAAACTGCACTACAGAGGAGGAATTGTGACTGACCAGTAAATCAAAACACCAGAGATATTTTTATATGTTAATGTCATAATATGTTAATGTTGCTGAAAAACAAAACTTAACAAGCCCTTGGTGTATTGGTCCAATACCACGTAGCCCCGAGTGATGAAGTTAAACTGTGCCGTGCTTCCCGCCCTGTTCAGAGGGAAGGGTGGCTATGTGTTATTTTTACTGTCTTTTTGAAAGTTACAGTATGTGTTTTCATATTTGTGCATATAACTGGAAGTAAAGCTGCAAACAGTGCTATTACACACTGACGTTCCCTTTGTTTTTACACACTAGGAGTGACACTTTTAAAGACTTAGGTGAATCAGTGCAGTTGCTGTCCACTTTATGATTTTCTCTGCCATCCTAAAATTTTATATAATAACATTTTTATTCCCATAAAGCAACAAAGTAATAAGTCTAAGAAAGCTAGTTTCAATGTGTAAAGATAGTTCTGATTGGGTAATCATTATTTGGATAAGAAAAAAATTTCCCATTATGGATACTGTGTCACTAAGCTCCTGTACTTTTTAGGTCTTCCTTGCAGTTCTGAAACATAACTAATTCTTGGCTATAACTTGCTATTAACTGGTTAAGTCCATTTTTAATACAACAAAGGGTTATATGTACAGTTCTTTCTTTTAGCTTGCTTTAAAAAGGAGTGATACTTTAATTTAAAATGTTGTTAGTAACTGCTTTCTAGAAACTTGGTTTGCTGAGCATAATTCTTCCATGATCATGTTTTGTTGTTTGAGGAAAAGAGAGTCTTTTCCTACTTACAGGTATATTTTGTTTGTTTTTTCTTACATACAGTCTTTCAAAAGTTACAACACTTAAAATTGGATGGACTTGTGTCAAGATTTGGAGTCATACATTAGCAGACCTTTTTTTTTTTAAGCCTACAATTTACATAGGCAGCAGAGTTGGTCACTGCTCTGCTCCTGGTGTAGAGTCACCTGTTAAGTGGGGTTCATCATTGTGAAATGCATACGTGAAAGACCTCTGAGAATGCTTTAGTGTTTGGTTCAACAAAAAGAAAATATTAGAACTGAAGAAAAATGCTGTCTGCTGTATGTTGCGACTCTTATTAACCTGTTGTAAATAATACAATTCACACAATGTTATTGTAAGTTTGTAACTTAATTTTCCCCTTTTTAGTTAAACAGGTTTGTTTAGAAACTTGTGTTTTGGTGTAAGCAAGTAAAATTGTGTCCATTTTATGGTCTCCATGCCTTTGTAATCTTACAAATATTAATGTCTAGTTGTTCTATATTATAACCATATTTGCGCTCTATGCAAGCCCTTGGAACAGAACATACTCATCTTCATGTAGGACCTATGAAAATTGTCTATTTTTATCTATATATTTAAAGTTTTCTAAAAATGATAAAAGGTTATTACGAATTTTGTTGTACAAAATCTGTACAAAAATCTGTTTTTACATCATAATGCAAGAATTGGAAATTTTTCTATGGTAGCCTAGTTATTTGAGCCTGGTTTCAATGTGAGAACCACGTTTACCGTTATTGTATTTAATTTTCTTTTTCTTTTCAACAATCTCCTAATAAAAATGTCTGAAATCGCCTTGTGACTTTATTTACCGTTTGTCTTTATTAGAGTCTCCGAAACGTGTTGCATCAAAGGAATATTTACTTTATAATGGGAGGCATCTAAAAACAACATAAGTCAGCTCTTTGCAATGCTCAGGGAGCAATGCTCAATGATTTTATTTAACATGCAACTGCTTCTATCTCTAATATGAATTACTGTGGTGAAAACCATCATAAAAGCACACTCTGTAGTTATTGTTTAACAAGCAGATTTTCCATATTTTGTTTCTTGCCAGCTAAGCAAACTGCCCACATATACATGATTTATTTATGTACATTTCTCAGTTTATGAAGCTGTTATTTGTACCTTTTTTCCTTTATCTTCTTATATTCCCAGGGTTCTTATTTCACAAAGCTTTGTGCTGAATAATGTAAAGGAGACATGTTGATGGACCAAAATATATAATTCCATATCTGTAAGAGTGTGGATTTGTAGCTCTAACTGCACGGTTTGCTTTTAACTATATCATCAGAAAAACACCTCTTGAAATTATAATAACCTTTAGCAATATATAAACACATTAATCAATCTACAGTTCATCACTTGAAAAAATATTGGGTTGCTATTTCTGTGAATATTCTAAGCAAATGGAAAAATTGATTTCTTTTTTTGGTCAAAATGAATAATCTCATTGAATTTCCTGAAACGGAATATTAGCAAATCATTGTTTTTCTTAATAAAAACAAAAACGCTTGTATGATCATTATTAATAGATTTTTGTCTTCTGTCTTATGCCAGTAAGACTTACCTTAGAATACCAAAAAACAAGTTGCTGTAAGAAGAATTTGATGATAATTTAGGTTCTCCACATGTGTTATTGTTCTATATTTATCTTCAAAACATAACTCGCTTTGGTTTGGTTTTAAAGTATATAAAGTAGAGATGTTAATAGAAATCAAAACATTATTGGAAGAAATGTAGAAAGTGTCAGTTTTCTTCATGTGCACTAGTAGAGAGAAACTGAGCTAATCCTCATTTATTCATTTAAACAGATTCAAAAATAAGGCCTTTCTTCTCCAAAAAGTACTCTGATAGATGTTTTAATGACCAAAGATAAAACCTAACTGTCCCAGTGAAGCTCTAAGTTTATTCAACAGGGAATCTTACCCAAGAATAGGATCAAAAGATTCACATATTGGTTTTACTGTAATAGACCTCAATAGACAATACTAGAGTATTGGTTGGGTACCTTCCCACCAGGTAGTCATTACTTAGTATCCTTTTATTTTTACATTTATCTTCTAGATACAGTAAAAGTTTGACAAAAGGATAAGGATTTTTGAAAAGTAAATACACACATTTTTCCAATAACTAAACCACCACGTCCATTACTCTTTTCATGTTATTTATTCATGTATTTCAATTGCTTCATTTCAAGATCAGAAACCTTTTAAGGTAAGCAGGGAATTAAATCTCAGGCAAAAATAATGTTATAAACAAATTCTTGATATGTTCATAATATTGACAATGAACGTACAAATTTAAGTCACTATTTAATGTCTTAATATTGCTAAGGTAAGCTACAGTCTAAAACAATTCAACCACAGCATAAGTAACTAAATGCCAATTCTGTGCAAAGATAATGAATAAAAAGTATAACTACAGCTTTATTTACATTTTGTGATCTGTGAGCTAGAAACCATGAGTTGTACAGATAATCAGTTAGAGTTCCTTTGATTCTATCAAAACAAAATTCTGAAAGCTTAAAATCCCAAGAAACTGGTTCTAAAGACTGAAGGGCACATGTGGGACCTCAAGGATGTAAAGCAGTAATGACCTAGGGACCAAGGTCCAAGCACTCTCTGCTTGTTCAGTTTTCTGCTCTGCCCAGTGGCTCTAACTATTTCTCCCCTTAGCAAATATATTTGCTTCTCTTGTTCTTATATTATTTATTCTCGTATTATCCGAGCGCTTTAGAACCAACCCATAGAGGAAGTAAACCAATCACTTTATCTTTGTTACCTTATATAGGTTACCTGTGCATGCTGATTGTCACTTGTTAGGATACATGCCTGTAAGGTATAGAGGGAGTATATGAGGTGCATTTAGGGAAATTTTGAGGTTGGCATTACCATTGAATTTTTAATCTCTGGAATGGGATCATCATGTCAGAATCCTTCTTCAGTGGATTATAATGAATATCCAAGGTAAAAACAATCATATCAATCTCAATGACATTATAGAATACAATTAGTGGACTTGCTGATGTGAAACAGAAAATTAGTGGTAGTGAAGAGGGAGTCATTGTATGATAAGCATATACTTAAATAGCCAAATCTACAAGATTGATATTTTTTGAAGTTTAATTTTATCATTTTGGACTGACTTGTGAAAAGAAAATGTAAATTCTTGTATTCAGGTAAATCTGTAGTCACATGATTCTTTGCTGAATAAAATTTAATAAATATAATCCCAGTCCCACTTTACATATATAGGTTGTCATTGTAGATGCCTCCTCCTTCTGAAGGTCTTTTTTTTTCCTTTTTAAATTAAAAACATATTTTTCTCTTATACAATACATTCTGACTAAAGTTACCCCTCCCTCCACTCCTCCCATATCACACCCCCATTTATGCTTGCCCCCCAGATCTACTATACCTCGCTCTCCCATCAGAAAAGAGCAGGCTCTGAAAGACAACAACCACACATGACAAAGTAACATATAATAAGACAAGTTAGGTGTCCTCAACAGAAGTTGGACAAGGAAACTCAATGGGGAGAAAAGAGCCCAACAGCAGGTAAAAGAGTCAAGGACACACCTGCTCCCACAGTTAGGAATCTGACAAAATGCCAAGCTAACAACCCAACACCGTATGCCCAGGATCTGGTGCAGACCAACCCAGGCCATTTGTTTGCCACTTCAATCCCCTATGAGCACTTTTGCAGCCTGTTTAGTTGATTCTGTGGGCCACATTCTCCTGGTGCTCATCAATCCTGACTCCTACAGTCCTTCGGCTCCCTGTTCTCTAGCATTTAAGAAAAGGCCTTGATTTTTTTTTTCCATACACAAGATCCACCCTCTGTCCTTCCTTTCTAAGCGCCTCCAAATTTCTGAAAACAAAAACAGTGTAGTAGTGTGCTGTTGGTGTCACTGTGGAAAAAGTATAATGGTAATGGAATCAGATGAAAGGAAGCATGGTTTGAGCATTCTAGCCACATTGGTAAATATTAGTTAAAATAGCTAGACTGAGATAAGTCCTGCAAATATAATATAATATATACAGTAACCACTAAAATACTACATTAATAAAATACAGTCAGAAATGTTATAGCTTAAATGAATTCTAGATCATACTGAGGCCTCTGCTACATAGACAGTAAATACTTTTCATAATGGATCCAGACCATGGAGTTTCTCTGTTGAGACATTCCAGTACTGTTTCTCATAATTTGGCTGATTCTTCAATACTGTTAATTTGATGACAAACTTTTTCTATCATGTTATCCAATGTGGTCTCTAGAAGAATAAAGAGTCTCTGTTGTTACAAATAATTTTGAGGTGGCAAAGAATGAGATCAACTATCCAATTAAACTGTCTCCAGAGTGGGGGAAATTTTATTCTTGATAAAGAAGGAATGCTACTAACAAAAAAAACAAAGCAAGCTCCCCCAGATGAGAAGGGCTCACAGGTTATCTTTAACGAGTGTTGACTTTTTCTTTTCCCAATTGTCTGGGGTCTAATCTCACAGCTTTCCATTCAGATTGGCTAGTTTTTAAAGAATTGGGAAGAAGAGAACTCAAGAAAAAGAAAAGCAGATCATAGCTCCAGGTCATCAAGTTCCTGGAATGCAGTAAAGTTATAAGAAAGCAAATGTTTTACTGGAAGGGAGGATTAAAACAGTTACATAAAGGTTTTACTAGTTGAGGGAGCTAAAATGATTTACATAAGAGTCTTACAAGATGGGAGAGATAAAAAGATTTGAATTCTTTGTCATGGAACTTTTACAGAATTTGGCAGAAAAGACTATTGTTTAATGTTTCCTACACTATTGAAATGTATCTTTCAGTTAAACCTTCTGTGTATCCTGAATGTCTTGTGCTTCACTGTATTTTTGGTGGGATGCTTTTTACAAGCAAAATCATGTAGTTGTGCAATATATCTCCAGGTAAAAATGTGAGTAGCAAACATCTAGAATTGCGAAACTTTTCTGTAAAGGAATAGAACTTTTAGGATAAGAAATAATATATATGTATATATTAGTAGTAGTAAAAGGGGAATTTATTGTGTTGCCTTACAGGATGTGGTTCTTGTAGTCTGGTAAGAGGGGATTCATGGAGATATTGTAGAAACTAATCTGGTAGCTGTCCCATCCAATAGTCTGGACATCTCAATAGTCCCACCAAGTCTGGCTCTGAAGACTTGTAAGATTCCTGGAGAGCCTCTGGTCTTCAGTCTTTATTAGAAACCCATGGGATAAAACTGAACTCTCTGAACATGGCGGACAATGAGGGCTGATGAGAAGCCAAGGACAATGGCACTGGGTTTTCATCCTACTTCATGTACTGGCTTTGTGGGAGCCTAGCCAGTTTGAATGCTCACCTTCCTAGACCTGGATGGAGGGGGGAGGACTTGGACTTTCCACAGGGCAGGGAACCCTGACAGCTCTTTGGACTGGAGAGGGAGGGGTAGAGGAGTGGAGGGAGGGGGAGAGAAGTGGGGGGAGGGGGGGAAATGGGAGGCTGGGAGAAGGTGGAAAAATTTTTCAATAAAAAAATAAATAAATAAAAAGAAACCCAATGTTGGTTTTAATAGTGATTGAGGAAAACCAAAGCGACAAGACACATGAATTTGACAGTAAGAAAGGGCAGACAGGGAGAAAAACAGCAGCGGTGTCTTTTTCCATATTCTTTATTTAATCAGGGGTAGTGACCCAGACTGAAGGTGTGGTTTTCTTATTCAAATAATCTAAGAAATCCCTCATAGGATTTTAGTTGATTCCAGATGTAGCCAAGCTGACAAACAAAATTAACCA